CTTGTCCCCCCCCCCCTCCCCAACACGAAGACAATGACATTCCCAAAGTGGAAATTGGTTTTTGCACATAAACTTAATTATTTTATTTTTATTTTTATCTATTTATTTTCATGTCATAAATGAGTTGTGTTAGTCAAGTTTTTAGCCTACACAGCCGGTTGTTAAATGATTGTCGAATCTGAAAGAAAAAACGAGTTTGAACTTTGGACCTGCATCGAATGTGAGTCAAACTTCATCAGCCGCAATAGAACCGCATCAACTCCTAAAGAACACATTCCAAATGTTGATCTCACTGTGAGTCAATATACCGGGAGGACCTAAGTAGTGAACTATAATAAGTTGAACGTCTCAGCCAATCACCACTTCAAACAGTGGTGGAACTAAATAAGTTAGGGTAATTACACTAAAACCCCATGACATTTTTGCATTTTGTAGCAAACCCCTGTAAACTTCCAAAATCGCATGAAACCAACCAATAATTTTTGCGGAAACCCTGCAGTTAATATCTTGAGTGAATTACGCTAAACCCCCAATAGCTTTCGAAATGTCTTTTTTTTTTATGTCGTCTTCTGGTTCTAATTTTATCTGCAAAATGCAGAAATTCATTGCTAGTTTTTTGTAAAACAGAAAGGTTATTAGGAGTTTAGTGTGATTTTGATTCATAGGGGTTTGCTGCAAAATACTGAAAATTCATGAGGTTAGTGTAATTTACCCAATATATATGGAAGTCAAGAGTCTCACATTATCATTCATATTCGTGTAATAAAAATTAATGTTCCCAAAGAAAAATATTGCACCATTATTGAGTAGCTTTTACTTGGCAGGTGAGAGGGGTTAAGTTTTTGAATTCTTGTTTTAATTGAAACGAAAAAGGAAAAAAGAAAAATAAATATATTCAGGCGTCTAATAAAAGGTTTAGTATCTCCTTATTTTTGAGCATTTTGAGGTCTATGAAGTCGATTACTCTCTGTATTTGTAGACAGCCTCAATTGAAGGAAGAACCAATCACATTAAATGTAGAAATATATTTTGAATTTAATTGAAGCTCCCAGCTCGTAAATGTAGAAAATTATCTTCATTTGTAAAAGGATTTTTTCCCCTCAAAGAAAAGGTAGATTCTTCTTTATGATCAGTTGATCGTAGAACCTACTAAATACATGTTGACATTCTTGTTTTTCGCTTGAATTTATTGGACTTTAAATTTAAAGCTGTTGAATTGGCGAAACTTTAAGGATGTGATAAGGGCAAAAGAGACATTATACACGGCACCCAATGAAATTCTCAGTAGTAATCTCATGTCACTACAAGATAGAAGACATCATACATAGCTTTGTTGAAGAAATTCACAACTAAATGCGTATAGAAAAGAAACTTAAATATTTTTTATCGTTATTTATTTTATTTAATTAATTATTTTATTTTATTTCATTATCTCAGTTCAATGCTATACACGAGTTCATCAACCCTCTTAAAAAGACAAAATTCCTACATCAAATTCTCAACCCAAACAGCCGACACAAAGAAAGGGCTTGGTGGTGTCATCATGACATCATCCTCCCACAAATAGCCCCTAACCTCGACATTTACCGAGAAAAAAGGTTTCTGAGTTGTTGCTGCTGTAGTACTTATGTGATGCTTGAACAAGAATATTTTAAGGAGAAATTTTGAAAACGATTCGATTTAAAAAAAACTTCGTAAAAAACAATTTTTTCTAAAAATAATTGTTTCAGCCCTCAAGTTAAAACTGTGTCGGTTTTGACGAAAAAAATTATGAAACTTCACGGGACTAGTCCCGTAAAGTTTAACACCGTCTAATGTTAATAGATTAACGTTATTATAGGTTGCTAAACTTTACGGGACTCCATAGTTTTTTTCTGTTTTTTTCCCGAGTTTCTGTTTTTTTCCCCTCTTCTATTTGGGTTAACTTTTTAAGCTGCGGCTATAGCATTACTTTTCGGTAAATTAGCGTCGTAATATGGAATTTAAACGGTGGTTTGCTACATTTGGAAGAGTGGCTTTTGAATCTTTGATACGTATTTTAGCTTATACAAGGGTATTTGTGCGCGTCCATTAACAATATTTACCACAATAGCTTTGAGTTTATTCGGAGCAAATTCAACATTTTAAAAGATGATTTGATGTCCTCGTGATCAGGTAAGGAAAGTTGAAACGTACGGATGCAAAAAATTAACCAGAGACGTCATGCACCGCCTTCTGTTACCATATTTTGTTCTCTTTTTCACGCAACATCTAACGATACGCAGTGGAGATTGCATAATATGAGAAAATATAACATTAGCGTACAAGCGAGAGATGAACAACTCAAGCAGAAAGGCAAAACATAAACAGGCAAAAAAACAATCGGTAGAAACTATCAATTTTCATTTTTTCCCCCTTTTAAATGTGAAATCCAGGAATATATACAATTATCCTTGAAGATCAAAATTTAAATTAAAAAAAACTGTTTACAAACAATGAACCTCTATATAGTAGTTTTCAGTTCATCTCTCTCGGATATGGTTCTCAATATACAAGAGTTCCGACACACTTCAACGCAAAACCCAAAATCAAGCAGCTGCAATGCAATTTACGAGCACCCATCAGCTCGAAGCGAGAATGCAACTAAAAGCAGGAAGAAGAAAACAATTTATGGACTCTACCTATCAATCTGAGAATGGAGAGGAGGTTCAAATTGTGGAAGCAATGAAGAACAACTTAAGGACGCCATTTTTCTTCAGGCAGCTCAACAGCATATTTGAATTTTGAAGCTCCCAAGACTTTTCACCTTTGCTGGCCCTTATATCTCCCACTCAATCACTTCATTAGTATCTCCACTGAGAAAATCAAGCATCATCAGTACACAGTAGTCCATCAGATTATGAGCTCTATGTCGAAGCTGTACTATATTGTTTCCTTCTGCTAACTGATCATGTACGACCTTCTGCTTACGAACCCAATAACAGGACTAATTATTCTTTTCCGCAGAGCATACTATCGCCCCCATACAACAGCACCATTCTTTATGGATTCATTGGAAGATCTTTTCCTTTGGAAACCCCGTTTTTCCTCTGCGAACTGATTCAGTGTCACTATAAAAGTAAGAGAATACCAAAAAGGAGAAGAATGTTAGGTGCCAATACATGGTCGCAACATAAACTGGTACTGGTATCTGCAAAAAGGCAGCTATATTAGCAAAGCAAAGATTTGAACTGGCTTACCGATAGGACTTCTTTCTGGTTTAATTAGCCAGGTTCACTGCATCATGGAGACATTAGTAAGGAAAAATGTTCACTAGGGGGATAAAAAGAACAAAAAAGCCAATAGGAGATAATACCTTGACGACTTGTTGCTTGACCTCTTACTTTTAGCTGCTACAGCCAGAGACCTCATCCAAGATATAAGAGGGACATCTTCGTCGAAACATTCACTCACCTTTGAGTCTGTTAGACTAGATTGATTCATGTCTTTGGCAATATTCATTGAGCACCTATAATTTGAAAATCATTATTAGCGCTTCACATTATAGTAAGGTGATAATTTACAAGCAATTTTTAAATGTCATGAAATTTAGGCACTTGTGGTCCTCGGTCATTATCTGTAAATATAAACCGAGGTCTTAAAACTGAGTTTTAGCCAGTTGAAGTTCTCATAGATTCTGCATTTCACCAAATTAAGCGATTTTTTAGACTATGCAATAACATCTTTTGGGGACTGCAAAACAATTTACAGATTGAAATCAAATTAAAAAAAAAGCATTGCTTAAATCAAATTAAAAAAATAATAAACTTTTCATATGGATAGATAATTTACAATTCAATCGTCACATCATATGTAATTAAAGATTTTCATGTGGCTTTTGGACAAAGTACAGTCTCTTAACAAAATGATTAATCTTGACAAGACAGCACTGTATACATTTAGAAAGTTTTAGTGTGAAAGAGCCCGCTGTATATATATAATGTATATGAGCTAACAGTCCATTTTGCAAAATGGGCTGCCAGCTCAATGCCATGTGAGTCCCCCTGCTAGTTACATCAGGATGGGGCTCACATGATAGTGAGTTGGCAGCTTATTTTGTAAAATGAGCTACCAGCTCATACCCAGAATATATATATAGTAAATCTCCTATACTCTTTAAGTGGATAGGAGCCATTTGTCCACCAACTTTTTTATCCATTAATTTGTATTGAGATTTATGCTAGCATGTGATACAAATGAAAGCACAAATCTCAAATATAGCCACTGTTTTAAAAAAACTCCGCCTAGTCCGTTTAGGCGTACGCCTAGACCTAGGCGGTACCTAGACCGCCTAACTAGCGCCTAGCGCCTAGCGCCTAGACGGTATTTAGGCTGCCCATCTAGATTTTACGAGCGTTTAGTGGAGCATTGTCTGCTTACGTGGATTGCACCCTGTAGGCCTTGGTTGTAATTTTATGTGTTGTAGTCTACACGTCCTACAAACTCCATTAACCTCCAAATATGAACACCTCCACTACCTCCTCCGACCTTCAGCAAAACCTCATCGACCACCACTTAAATGAAGAAAGAAATCATCCTAGACACCAGTCCGACATCTAAGCTTTCTATAACGTTGACATTCACTATCAATTATTATAATTAAAAATAAAAAAGAAAACATCCTAGGCTCTAGCCTTGTTAATTATTGTTTTGGCTATTTAGTATCTAAGTATGCATGATTTATTGTGGAACTAAGATTGCTATCTTTTTTAAAAAATTTATATGAATTTAATACATATTTTTATCAATTATTATAATTGAATAATTTAAAAATAGTCAAACGCCTAGGCGTTGCCTAGGCGTACGCCTAGGGGTCTAGGCGCTTTCTAGGCGTACGCCCAGAGGTCTAGGCGCTAGCTCAAACCCCTATCTTGTCTAACGCCTTATGTAACATTGCCGAGCTCCCCCGATCTCTGTAACTACTAACAAGGTAAAGAGTACTTCTTAAATATCTATTTAAGTTAGTTAACGACGGTAACTTAAACTTAAGTGGACGTCCACTAAGTTTCTTAGTCATTGATGATCACTTGATTGAGCTACATTGTGGATGATCCACTGTGTTAAACTTGATCTACATATTCTAAAACCCCAACACACCAAATTTAGGGTGAACCCGTCGTAGTTTGACCATTCATCCACTCGTATTAATTTTAACGGAAACTTTTTACATGGCTCGACGGAGGGTCAAACCACGACGGGTTCACCCCAAATTTGGTGTGTTGGGGTTTTAGAATATGTAGATCAAGTTTAACTGAGCGGATCATCCATAATGTAGCTCAATCAAGTGATCAGCAATAACTAAGAAACTTAGTGGACGTCCACTTAAGTTGACATAAGTTTTGCTATATAT